TAACAAGTAACGTTTAAATCCCTTTCTTTTAAAAGGACAAAAAAAATTTCCCTAACCGTTATAATTTTAAAACTTTCTATTATAAAATGAAAATTCCAATTTAATAATACTCTGAAATTAAAACATATTAAATAAAATATATAAATGAATATTGTACAACTAAAATTAAAAAAATAATTATAATATTGCTATAAATCTGCAATTTATATATTATTAATATCAATCGATTAATTAAATAAATTAATTATATATTATAATGAGTCTAATTTATGTGAAAGAATTTACGTGAATATAAAAACGTACGAAAACTGGCAGCACTATCGAGAGTTTGACAAACAAAGAAACCGTTATAAACATAAAATTAAAATTAAAATAATTAACGATAAGTGTAATATACTAATACATAAATTTAATAGTAAATAAATAGTATAGTATCAGATAATATATTAATTAGACTTCAAATTTTATTAATTACATTTAAAAAACCGTTATAAATAGCCAACATATCAGCTTTATCGTACAAAAAAACAAATGAAATATTATTACTTCTGACATTCCAAAAGTTAAAAATATTAAATAATATAATACTTAGAAGAACTAATAGTCATATCTCTCATATAAAAATTTAATATTCGACAAATCACGTCATCAGTAATATGATCAAAATTTCACGTCATCAGGTTTCACAGGTCAGGGTATTGTTTCATAAAATGTGTTATAATTCGCGAAGATATATAAGTATACAAACATATTATACATGAAAATGTAGAAAACAAAATTCTCCATCTAAATAGCATACAGCTAAAGATAAATTATAAGTTTTATAGGTTATTATGTTATATCAAATTGCAGTAAATTTACAAGTCTTTAATGTAAGCAAGATTAACGATTTTTTTTGAAATAAGTACAAAATACAACCAGATGATAAATATACCAAACAAAACTACTAATACTTGCATAGTAGCAGTATTTTTTTCATACTTCTATTATAAAAATTTGATTTTATATGAATTTTTAAAATAATACTAGTATATTGACCTTGATGACCTTAACAAAACCAGCTAAGTTAAACTACTCTGACCACGCCCCCGCCGGGAACAAAGGGATAAATTATAGACCTTGCTAAATATGACTGAACGCACTTCATCTGGTGGACAAATTTTCTGCAAGAGAAGATAGCGCCGCCGCTTTCGCCGTGTTTTTGACCAGAGACGATTCAATCCCTGGTCTCTCAGAGCGATAGAGCTTCGGCCATTCGGCAGTTAAGTTGTGAAAATATAAAATTTTTATAATCTTTATGTCCCATTATCAAGCGCTATCGTGGCTATTAATTTAAGATTAGATATAATAAATCCGTTAATAAATTAATTTAAAACACAAAAATAATGTATTTTCAAGCAAAAAATTATCAAAAATTACAAAATATACTTTAGTTTTTGCTGTTTTTATCTACAGCAAAGATAGTCTTTCTTATTATTGTTACGATAAGACTTCTCAATGTTTTTCACAAATGTGTTTATATTACACGTATTAATATTTATTATTATTAATAATTTATTTATATTAGATGAATTACAACAAACAGATCACATGTTGGTGTTGACTAACATTCGCATCGGGTTCTTTCCAAGAACCTAGGATATAGTAATGTAACGGCGTAGAATGTTCGCAGACCCAAGCAGCGCAGCTTTTTGAAGTTGACAAAATTTAATTTTGTCAATGTTGATTTGCTTCAAGTGCTGCCTCAGGGTTTTGGGAACGGCACTCAGTGCGCCGATAATCACTGGCACTACTGCTGCTGGTTTGTGCCATAATCTTTGGAGTTCAATTTTCAAGTCCATGTATCTTGTAATTTTTTCTTGTTCTTTATCATTTTATCAACTCTACTGTCACCAGGAATCGCGACATCAATAATCCATACTGTTTTCTTTTCGGCAATGGTTATGTCTGGTGTGTTGTGCGCTAGGACTTTATAGTTTGCAATCTGAAGTCTATGAAATGATCAGCCATGATTGGATGTAAACAGTTCAAGTATTTCAACCAAAACTCACGCACTTGATTGCTTCCAATTTTTGATTCTTTTTACTCTATTTCTTTTACCATAGTTTTTGTTATTGACAGACTGGATATGATACTCATTTGTCTCCTCTTCAAACGCTTTTATCCAGCTTGCGTTATGTTTATATTCTTTTCCATTTTTTCATAAATTTCTTTAAAACTGTGTAGTTTGATCTTTATTTGATTTGGTAGTGATGATTTTTCTATCACAGTTAATGTTTCGGAAGAACCTTCGCTGATCAGTTTGAAACAGTTGGTTTTATTTATATTGAACGTTCGCGGTTTCGTACCTTTCAATTATTATTTTTATTTTATTTTACTTTATTTATTTATTTTTTTTAATACAAGAAACGAAAGCGCACGTTTTCCATCTAGCAAATTTAAAATTTTTTATTTCAAAAACTGGCAACACTAGTTGAAGATAGTATAAATAGAGGCGTCTTCTGGCGACAGCAGAAGTTCAAAGTAGGTCGCGGAATTCGTCGTCATGAGCGGCGATTTGGATTGTACGAATGCTAAAAGAGGCGTTTGGCTGGTCAAGGTAAGAAAAATAAAAACGTTTCGAAGACACGTTTGAAAAAATTCCGAATTCTTAATCAATTTTTACGTTATTCACGTACTTTGAAAGCGTTATTGAACGAACGTGACAGGAGTTACCCTAAGTTCATTCACTTAACAGTAGTCTCGGTAATCCGACATAATATCGAAACTGTGTCGGATTAAGGAGATTGCCGGATTATTGGAAGTAGGGCGAATTCAATGGCGCACAAACAAGTTTGACAATTTAATAATGCAGCATAACATAATTTGGATTGGATTATTGATCAAAACATCATTCAAGTGTTGCCAATGCAATTTGGTGGATTTACACTAAATTTAGTGGATTTACACTAAATTTAGTGGAAGTACCGTATTTTTGGGGGACTCGTTTTTATATTTACACAGTGTTTTGTTATCGTACTGTATTGTTTTTGAGTGGCCCGAGACGACAAGTCTAATGACGTCTTATGTGGTGTCTGAGCTTCGGTGTTTGAGCTCGGGCTCGATATTGTGCTACTTTTAGCGGGAAGTTTGTTTGATTTGGAGATTGTGCAAGCAGTACCCGAGAGTTGACTATGGTCTGTATATGGAAAGAATCAGCTAGAGAGGAATGTCATGCATGATGTATGTCGTTTTGGTTAAACCGATTGGCAAATGATGATGGCAATTTTTGCTTAATGCATCGGACAATATGTGAATTTTATTTTATTTCTCTTGCTAGATGACAGAACGACTTTTCTGTTAATTCTTATAGCATGTATTAATTGTAAAGAATTGTACATTTAAGAACTACTATAGCGAACTTCCTCATATTCCAATACTGGAACATGAAGCTTTTGTAACACTATTTATAATGGCAGTGATGAGTTTATCAAATGAGGAAGAAGCTGGAAGAAAGTTGCTGCAACTAAGCAATCGATGGCCAATGCTCATTGGTTAATATCCAAGTTGATTCTTTCCACGGGCAGACTGTAGTGTCGGATTACTGGATGTATGAACTAGTAAATGGCTGGATTACCAATGTTGTACTGTATTTATACAAAAAGTACTGAAAAATGTTTTTTGCTTGTTCCTTTACAATGGTGATAAGAGTTTATTTGATGTTTTTCTAATAGCGGTATTCTCCAACTTGGTAGTTTTTTCTGGTTCCTCATTTCTTTATTGATGCAGAGTTGTACAGTACAGTAGGTGATTGGTTAACAAACAGTTTGGATTGCAAACAAATCAAACAGTGAACACTTTTGTGAAAGATTTTTATGTTCGGACAACAAACACCTAACAGAACAAACACAAGAAGCGACACCGCATTTAAAATTTGTAAAACTATATTTTATTGGCAGCTTACATGGTTTATGAAACTAGACTTTCACATTGTATAAATAACCTTTTTTTGTACTAGTTAATTTCTGTTCTCTGAATTTTTGTGATTTTCTGAACTTTTTATTTAAAAAACTGATAATATTATGGGATCTAAAAAGAGTGGAGTGTCTAGGCAAGAGATAATAGTCAAGGTAGAGAGTGGGAAGATGTCTGATATTGTAGGTAGATACAACTAAGAAAGATATAATCAAAAAGACTGAAGCAGATAAAGGAGTAACGAAAATTGCATCTGAGAAACAAAGATGTGCCATCCATGAAAAAATAGAGATATTGCTTTTAGTTTGTTATTACATGTAAATAAACATAGTAAGAAAGTATGTAATTTTTTATTTATTTTTTAGGGTTTTCAGAATGAATTAATCAAATTCCCACAAAAATCTATGGTAAATCTATAATTAGTTAATGAACATTTCGGATAGCGAACATGGTCTTGGAACAGATTACGTTTGCTAACCAATCACCCACTGTACTTTTTTTCATTTTTAATAATATGTGCAAGAAGTGTTATGGTGCTACTTGGCACAATATTTTGCAGCACCCACAAAATGTCGTTGTCACCCTAGTGGAAAATCAATAAATTAATCTACGGAAGGAACTCTTTATCACTGCGTCAGGGGATACTTTACATATCAATTAATTTAGTGTGCACAGATGACTCAATGTGATTTGATGTTCCGTAAAACGTTTTTGCTTGTAAATTGGTTCATATTGAACTATACCTTAAATGGTAATGTTGAATATGTTGAATCCAGTTTATTAGCCACTAATTGTCACTACATTCTAATTCTTTATTTTGATGGCTAACTTGCATATTTAACGTTTCCTTAAAGGTAATTGTAATAGATGTTTGATGATTCACTTTATTGATAACATTGTTTGTTAATGATGTGATTATTATTATTTTTTTATACTGTGCATAACTGTAGAGTGGCAAAGTAGCGAAGGTACAATGTTAAGTCTGTGGGACAAACATGTTGGGGTCCCACTCCCTGTTAACTTTAGTCCAAGAAACTTTTTTGTGTTTTGCAGTTTTATTATTGTAAGTATTGAGGGGTATAAATGTGTATTTTAGTTACTAAGACTTGTTTTTATCATTTTCCCAACTCCACCTTACCAATCCCCCACCCCCTTGAAAGCCCAAGCAACACCAAGTATATGCAAACTATTATAAAGTATAATATAAATTAGCATTTAAATATATCAGCCAAATTTTACCAGACTACTATTACGTTAATGTGAAAAGTTCTGGTAGTATTTGATATACAGATCAAAATAGATTAAGTATGTTACTGTGTAACACACTCATAATTATTAAAAACATATGCGAATATTAAGTTGCAAGCAGAAGTGTAAAAGTACAATCAAGTTTTGATTTAGCGACACCACTTTGTCTCTATATTGAGTGAATAACTATCTCAAACGATGAAAAATATATTTAGGAATGAGTTCTATATGCAAGTTTAGGGGTTTTAAATGAGTTTTTCCTAACTTTTGGAGTAAGTTTTGTTTGTATCTGTATATTGCAAATATTCTACACAAAATTTTAATTTTGTACAATACAAGTTTTATTTCTCAAAAATATAATTCGGTCACATTTGAATGATGCTTGTTGTCCAGAACGTAAACATCGGTCGTCATCTGGAGGTTATTTTTTATGCATTTCAAAAAGAAACATACTGGAAAAAGTGACCGCTGCTTAAAGGCAGCTGAAATTGGAGGTTCAACTGTACTGTATTTAAGTTTTCATAAAAATTTATTATTTTGTCTTAATAATAATTTCATTGTTTAGGTTCCCAAGTATTTATCGTCAAGATGGAAAAAAGCTCCTCCGAAAACCGAAGTCGGACGTTTAAAAATAAGGTTTAAATTTTAATTTTTGAAAATAATATCAATTTCCTTCAACATTATTTTTAAAATTTATGTAACTCTGTTTGAATTTAAGTAAACTAATATTATTCTCAAATTGATTAGGGGTGCTATGGGGAAGCCAGACATTAAATTCACCCTGAATGATGAAATAGTAAACATGAAAGAGCCAACGGAGAAAACAGGAATTCCTAAAGAACATCAGTTTGCGGTTACTAAGATTTTTAACCAAACTTTAGCAGTTTTTTCTAGTACAAAACGTAAGTTTTTAATATAATTTTAGTTTTTAAAAATATCTGTTTAGAAATACAGGGTCTTCCGAAAAGAATGCTATTATTTTAAATTATTATAATTATATTAATTACTGTTCTGCATCAAAATCCTCCTGTGAAAGAAAATGTGATTTTTTTTAATGTATTTTAATATGCAGAATATGAATCTGCAGTCCAAAATCTTCTATTACCCACAGTTTTTTTTAAATACCACTTTTTTTTTTCAGAAAAATCTCTCTCTAGACAAACTTTCTGTTACCATTGTTTGAATAAAATATAAAATTGGAGAATCAAATTTGCTTAATATCAGGAATATTTTTAAAAGGACCCTCCTGGGTCGGGTCCTATATCCATGCTGCAAGAACCAGCTGGACTGTTTCTGTTACATTTGTGGAGAACTGATTTTGAAAGCACAATGAAAATCACCGATGTATCTAGAGAAGAAACCTTAATTTTCTTAGTTAGAAGAAACTTGGACAGTTTTCAAATATAGTCGATTCCGTTTAATTGGGCCACTGGCTAATCAGAGCAGCCGCTTTGTTTGGCCAAATCTCAAAGAACGGAAACCAAACTAATAAATTAATACATAATTTAATCACTTAATTGGGACAGTTAGCAATTTTTGATATATTTTAGTAATCTTCTGAAAATATGTAGGCACTTATTATAATAATATCATGTAAGTCTAACATTTGACAGAGACAAGGCGATTTTGTCTTTTGCTCGGGCAGTTCAGTTTTTTCCAGAGGGGGTCAACATAATGGGACGTATCACTTGGGGATTTCGTCTGAGGCGAACCTGAATACAAATTAATGATCCTGCTCTGGATTGGACCAGATGATCCCTTTAAAAGCAAAGGAACAAAGATCACCGGACAATTTTTCGAGGTCTCTCGACTGAGTTGGAAGTTTTCTTGGAAGGTATTGTGTGCATAATTATGTCTAGATTCAGACAGCAGCCATCTGATTGTTGAGACCAGCATTGAGCTGGCAGATTCTACAGACACTCCCGCTGAAGTGGCCCATCTCCAAGTAAAGGAAACTGTGCTCAAAAGAAGACTGTAAAATGACTTTTGGACGAACCCTTTCCTTTCTCCCTTTTTAGTTAGAACATGTTCTAACTAAAAAGAAAGAAAGGAAAAATTGTTCAATCAGAAACGGATTGAGTAGTCAGCCCTTGTATACGTCACTACTAATATTTGGCAACACTAGCATTATGTGAATGCGTTATCTATTGTCGTGAATCTGGCAAATTTATAGTACAAATATTTTCTGTATTTTGGTTTAATCAAACATTAAAATAGATACCTAATTATTATTTTTACCCACTTATTTATCTACGTATTATGTATTTTATTATACAATTTATTATTAGTTCGTTTAATTTGGGCAGCTGCTTAATTGGGCCAAAATGGATTAGTCCCAATGTGTCCCAATTAAGCAGAATCACAACTGTATTTTAATGTATGTTGCAATGTATCATATAATAATTAACATAATTATAATAATTTAAAACGGTAGCATTGTTTTCAGAAGACCTGATATTTTAATTTTTTTTGTTATTTACTACTATTAGTGAAAATAACAAATGTATTTGTTTCATATATTTCATTGTATGTACAGTACCTTTTATCAGACACTAAACAAATATAAAGATTTTTGCTTTAAATCTTGCTGAATTTATTTTAGTATTTGAATTATTTACATATTCTCTGATAATTAATTAGTATTTTTAATTAATGTCTTCGTACTTATTTAAATAGTAATATTTTTTTTAACTTGAAACACTAGGCTATTTTAATATGACAAAGTTTAGTTTTATATTCTAAAAAGATATACAATAGAACCCCAGTTGTGTGAGATAAAGTGGACAGATGCTACCTCAGATAATCACTCTGGAAAATGAACAACTGTGGTCATTTCACATTAATCCTTTCTTTATACCTTATTTTTACACACAGGTTTCTTATACTGTAATTATAAAAGAAAGTTTAAAACTTCCATTTTAAGCCTTCTTTTATAAATTACTTTCTTTACTTATAAATTCTTTTATAAAAAGTAGTGCATTCACTTGTCATTTTGCTCTGGATAATGCAGAACCTTGATTAATCAGGGTTCTGCCATTACAAGCATATAAGTGGAAGTGTTGTTAATTTAATATTTTCCATGTTTTTATTATAAATTGCATTCTAAAGTTTTTAGCTGTGTATTATATACTATTGTTGATTTTGAGCTGAAAAAAACTGTAGACCTATAAATTCCCCACTTTTGTTCATCCATCCATCTTTCCTTAATTTCTAGAATGGAGTTAGGTAGATGAAAGATGAGACCTGATATGGAAACCTTAAGTGCAGGAGAACCCGATTAACTATGTATGAACTTCTGATGGAAACTGAAAGTCACATTATTTTTAATTCAAAAATTTTTCCCTATAAAGTGTTTAGATAGATGACCGGCACAATTCTATTATTAAAGGAAAGTACGATGTATGGGTAAGCCACTACTAATTTGAGGTGGAGAGCATATATTTTAAATTAAATGAATTTAAAATGTGATTAAAAATTGCAGCCTGTTATGATCAATTGCTCGTTCTGTTAAGATCATTCTTAAATTAAAGTAAGACTGTCATTCTTGAATTGCATTTTTCAGAAAGATGCAATGATAATTTTATGCTTTCAAAATACATTTGACTGGTGTTTTTTAATTATAAAACATATTTTGGGCATTTCATTGTTTCATTTTTATCCAAACAAAAAGAAATTGATTAAAAATTATTTGGATATCCAAATTGAAAGAATTTGAGGAAACTAAGTTGCCTTCTGATGATTGGACATTGTGGAAAGAAGACAATTTAGTTTCTTCAAATGTTTTAATTTTGAAAAATTTCATCAGTCATTTTGATTAAGTGAAGATGAAACAAGAAAATACTCCAAATTGTGTTTTCTAACTAACAGAAGTCACATCAACTTTTTAAAATGATCAGTTTTAATGCTGCCTTAGGTGAAATTAATACTTAAATTTATGATTTATACAATAATTTTTAATTAAATTGTTTTTTATTTAGATGATAATTCCAGTGGACCAGAAACTCAAACAGGTATTTAATTTTTTTTTATAAAGATTTAATATATTATAATTTTGTTTTTATTTCAATACTTTAATTACTGATAGGCACTACTTAACAACTGGGATTTGTTCCAAGAAATGCATCATTAAATGACTTTGTTGTTACATGAACATCAAAGCATGTACTTAAACAAACCTTATATGGTATAGTGTACTACTCATTTAGGCTATATGTAACACATTAATAAGTATTTGTCTCTCTAAATACATCTATACTTAAAAACAGGCAGATATGAGTTTTTCAGTTCCATTATAATTTATGGGACTTAATTCATAATTTGAACATTAAACTATGTGCCTGAGATTAACATACAGTATATGCATATATATATTAAGCATGATATGATTTCAGATAATGTTCTCACTGTTATTGGATACTGAAATTTCAGTATCATTGAAAGTAATTAAAACTAGATTCCAGATTTCTTGAAAACTTTGATTTTTATGAGATATCATTTACAATGTACTCTGCTGGCAAAACAAAATGCAAAACCATGGAGGAAGCTTCCATTATGCTTGTAGTTTACATCACCATACTGATTTGTCACCTGATGTTATGATTTTGGTGCCATTATGAATAGTTTCTACTCCTGCACCCATCTAGTATGCATTGACAGTATACTTGATAGCCAGTGCTACATCTCCGACATTTTGGACCCTGTTCCCCTTCTGTAACTTCATTTTTTAACTGGACAATGTGCGACTGCACATTGCATGCAACATCCAACAAATCATCAATACTCATTAAGTTTCTGTTCTTCTGTGGCCTGCCTGTTTTTCTGATTTGTCACCTATCAAACACACCTGGTCAATTAATCTCCCTGCAACTGGCACAACACACACAACCTGCTGCTATGTTGGATGAACTTTGGAAATATATGGAAGCAGCATGGTATAAAGCTGTCAATTTCATTTTTGTGTTCTATGTTGTATGTCCAATAAATATTGTTTCAATACATATAGTCCATCATGGTGTTGCATTTTACTTGGCCAACAGTGTATAATTTTAATATTTGTGATTCAAGAATATAATAGATTAGGAGTGTGCAATCTTTTTAAATGGCAGACAAAATAAAATGTGGTCCCCGTATATGGAACTTTACATTTTCTAGGTCTTTTCAATTTCTGGCCAGCCTGGTCAACAAGTTGATTGTAATCACCTGCTTGATTGAAAAAGACAGTGAAAACAATTGAGAAAGAGTGTACACAAGGAAAAAAAATATAATATATCAGGTAACATACAAAAAAATTGGTGTATAATAAAAAGTTACAACAAACATAATTATATAATAATCTGTGGGATCTTTACTATATTTGTCTTGATGGACTGGATTACGTATGTTATAGGGCCATAGGTTGCCACCATAGGGATAGGTTATTATTTAAAATAAATGTTTAAAAATTCTCTAAAAACTATTAATACTGAAAATTTTATAAATTTTTGTTTTTGTTTTGATATAGGAAGTGGACTTGTTTTGGAAGGTCATGTTATACGTAAAGGAGAATGTCGTCCTATGGGAGACGATCAATATATGAAGTTAAAAATGTAAGTCGGTCTTTTAATATTGTAATGTGTAATGCATTTAGAAATTTGTTATAATTTATTCAATAAAGCTGATTAGGAACTAATAAAAACTCAAACTGTAACTTTTTAATCAGCACAAAAAAATCCACTAATCAACAGGTTTTAATAACTAATCAACAGGAGTCAGTATCTATCAGTTTATAGATATTTTAATTTTTTTTCTTAATATAACGAAAGAAACAGAAAAATATCTTTACAGTCAAGTTTAGATAATTACTTCAAATAGAAGAATTTCATCTCAAACCAAATCCTGGGCCCCTGGAATGGCATATGGAAGCTAAGTTGTCGTGTTAGTCAGCAAGTTCAAAAACTGCAAAAACTACCTTCTGGCACAGTTTTTGCATTTGCTAAACAAATGGTCTTTTAAGAAATGAACTTGGGCAGATATTGCCAATACAAAATATTGTTGATGATTAAATTTATTTCTGAAAGAAAACAAAATTTGTAAAAATATTTGTGATCTTTAAATCAAAAGATATGTTTTATGATGTTTTATATAATATCTTTAAATCAACATCATTATTTTTGTGGATTTGAGTAACTGTTTAAGGCTACTGTTTCTAAATAGCAAAACCCTTTTATGATGTGCAAGTTTGCACAGAACCCAAGATCAGTTGTGGAAGCCAAGTAGGCTTAAGCTTAGGTGCCTGGAAGGAAGGGTGACCTAGAAGAAAGAAAGCAAACGTAAAACTAATGGTTTGATTGATATATTATTTAATGTCACTTCATTCTATTCATTCAGCAAAAGAGGGCAAAATCAGGAGTTCCCTACTAAATCACAACTTAGGGGTCCAGGTGGTAGTTAAACTGCTATCACCCAAGACTACTCTAGTTTAATTTACAGTAATACCTTGACTTACGTGAACCCAGAGTTATGCGATTTTCAAATCTCATCGATTCGTCTTTTGTGTGAGCACCACGCAACTCTTGATTACCACTCCCCCCACACTATTGTTCAGCTTACATGTTCAGATGTATCGTGCGGAATTGACACATAGCTACAATTTATTTTGTGTTATTTATTTCTGTGTTTGTTATATCTACGGAGACTTGAGAGACTCTATGTGGTGATTTCTTGTAACCGTGTACGAATCAAAAGACGAGATAAGATTAACAAGAACATTTATTAGCTTACGTACATCTGACTTGGATTTTACACAAATTACGAAATTATACCCCGACTTACATGAATTTGATTTACGTGGTTATCGCTTGGTCCCACCTATCACATAAGTTCAGGGTATTACTGTACTTTAATCTGTGGTCAGACATCTGATCGAATGGGCATTTGTCTGAATGAATATCTTTTTTCTGAATGCTAATCCTGATGTTAATTGTCAACTTCTTCTCAGAATGCTCTTTTTTTTAATTTTGAAAATTTTGTTTAGTTTCATTGTCGGAGCGAGGCGAAGCTGAGCAACGACTAACATTTGACTTCATGCATCCCTTGTCAACATCGTAACTCTAGAATGAGTTGTCGGATCTTGATGAAATTTTCTAGGACGACTCATCATCACTCAAAAATGAACTGATTAAAATTTCAATTCTCAAAAATGATCCATTTTTGTAGAACTGGAGATAGGGTCAAAACGAAGGTCACGTTTTCCTTCAGTATTAGAGGTCAAAATGAGTTGACTAAGGCTACATCCTACGTGGCAGTATCTATTTATTGAGTCTGTTTATCCAGAGATGAACTTGATCAGTTCCAAATGGCAGTAGAGCTATATCCAACAAACAAACAAGCAAGTTAAACAAAGCAATGAAGACTACTTGTAGTCAACTGGATGCCCTGTTACTTATATAGCATCTGAAAACACTCCAGATATTGCTCTGCCTTCATCCAAAGATGACTCAACTCTTGGTCTCTCCAAGTATTTTAATCTCTCAGTTAATGCCAGAATCATGATGAGAGTCAACTTATGGGTGCAAGGAGGTCTCGTCAATGGTTCACTAGGAACTATATGTTACATTACATCTAATTATACCTGTTACTATTCATTACATTGCTCCTAATGCTCGCCCTCCTGCTCTTCCTCTGTTTATTTTAGTGGAATTTGATAGTTATCAGGGACCTTTCATCTATGGTAATCTGTTTCCAATAATCCCCATAACACTCTCTTTGAACGATGGCAGTATATTGCAATCTTGTAGACAGTTTCCCCTTACTTTAGCATACTTGATGACTATACATAAATCATAGGGATTAACTCTTCCAAAAATCAAAATAGATATAGGTAAAAAAAAGATAGCTATTGGTCTTAATGTTGCATCAGTCGAGTGAAAAAAATAACTGACAGTATTTTTAGAGAGTTACAATAAAGATCACTACGAGTCAATCTGCAAATCCAAGGCCCAGTGATAGACAGAATTTCACAATATGTTGGCATAGCAATTAATCAATGGCTTATTCTGACCTTATATTTGTACCTTTAAATGATACAATAGAAATCAAATATATTATTGAGAATGAATGATTCTTTTTTCCCTCATAATCTAGAAAATGAAGGTGCGAGCAGCCTTGCTCCGACTACATGTTGATACAGCATTATTTAACTAGTTATCTAATGATGAGTCTAATTTACTGAAGGTATGGTTATGAAGCAAAAGCTTTCTCTCTCCTCTTGTCATTGGTATGAATTTGATGATCTGTAAATAATTAAAACACTGTTATACATTGTTTAAATATCATATTTTTAAAGTTTAAATTCTATGTTCAGAGTAAACTATACTGAAAAAAATTCAAATTCTATTAAAATGTACCAAATGTAAATGAGGTTTTAATATAGTTGCTGTGTATTTCTAAACATACAGCAGTTACATTTAATATGTAATGCCTGAGGATATGGAGAATATAGCAAATAAACAGTTTTTCTGTTCCAGAAACTAATTTCAAATTACACACTCAATCATTCTGAAAACTTGAACACCACCCCTTTATATTGTTATTTATGTATTTTGGTATTTATTGCTGTAATTTTTACATAACATGTTATCCTAGTTTACACACATTATAATTATTATTTTATTTTACATGCATTTTATTTATTGNGGGTTAGAGTTTGTCTTCCGCTAAGACATTAACAGATAGTTGACACATACTCGAACCGTTCCGAGTCTCGTTGTTTACATCTCGTGTCGCGCAAGAATTTCACGGTTTACTCGAGTTCGAACCTCGTCTGGGAACCCACATATGCACATAATCTTCTTCAAATGCATTGTTTGATCATTCTAAAATTATTTCTATATCACTTGAAAATAATTTCTGATTTTTGTCTTTTGCTTCAAAAATATCATCTTGCATATAATTTTTACATTCTAAAATTATTTCTATATCACTTGAAAATAATTTCTGATTTTTGTCTTTTGCTTCAAAAATATCATCTTGGATTTTATTTTTAGTTTTTAATATATTTACATTTTAAATGTCCTACAATATGCATTATACTTGTGATAAGATCTTAATGCATTTTTCTTCAAAATAGAAAATATTAGTTATTTAGTAAACAATGTTTGTGAAAAAAGCATTTTGCCTATTGTATCTTAAGTCTTAAATTTGTTCTTTTAAACTTGTTTTTGTTTTTCTTTGCTGTCATTTCAACACACCAGCATCAGTCCAAAACAATTTTCACATATGGAGACGACCTTTTATTAGAGGTCTGCCTCTACAATAAAGTGCAAATTGGAAACAGCATCCTCTGGTAATTTTTGCCAAAATCACAACATAATACATAGCTTTTTACTTATAATTACCTTTATTTCAAGTTTTACAATTTCTTTATTTAAGAAATGAACTTGGGCAGATATTGCCAATACAAAATATTGTTGATGATTAAATTTATTTCTGAAAGAAAACAAAATTTGTAAAAATATTTGTGATCTTTAAATCAAAAGATATGTTTTATGATGTTTTATATAATATCTTTAAATCAACATCATTATTTTTGTGGATTTGAGTAACTGTTTAAGGCTACTGTTTCTAAATAGCAAAACCCTTTTATGATGTGCAAGTTTGCACAGAACCCAAGATCAGTTGTGAAAGCCAAGTAGGCTTAAGCTTAGGTGCCTGGAAGGAAGGGTGACCTAGAAGAAAGAAAGCAAACGTAAAACTAATGGTTTGATTGATATATTATTTAATGTCACTTCATTCTATTCATTCAGCAAAAGAGGGCAAAATCAGGAGTTCCCTACTAAATCACAACTTAGGGGTCCAGGTGGTAGTTAAACTGCTATCACCCAAGACTACTCTAGTTTAATTTACAGTAATACCTTGACTTACGTGAACCCAGAGTTATGCGATTTTCAAATCTCATCGATTCGTCTTTTGTGTGAGCACCACGCAACTCTTGATTACCACTCCCCCCACACTATTGTTCAGCTTACATGTTCAGATGTATCGTGCGGAATTGACACATAGCTACAATTTATTTTGTGTTATTTATTTCTGTGTTTGTTATATCTACGGAGACTTGAGAGACTCTATGTGGTGATTTCTTGTAACCGTGTACGAATCAAAAGACGAGATAAGATTAACAAGAACATTTATTAGCTTACGTACATCNTAATTTATATATAATACTAAACAGACGATAGCAAACTCAATTTAGCCGCTCCGTAGCGTGGCGCAGGGTCGGAGGAAAGTAGTTCGGCTGCTCATCCACTATTGGTCCAGACTCTATCAATCTTGTCGCGAAATGACGTTATAGGAGGTACGTTATACGAAAGTTGCTACAATTTTTTCGCTACGTTATAGGAATTGTCGTTATAGGAACGTACGTTATAGGGGGGTCGACTGTAGTCCAATTCTCTGACTCTTATTAATGGGAATATTGCACCTGCTTGTCTTTGTACATTTTTTAATTAAAGACTGGAAACATGGGAAACAGTCTTCAAAAAATGATGGTGCATGGGTACAGGGTCCAGGATGAAAGGTCTTTGAAATGAGGTATCAAAAGAAAGATCAGTATTATACAGTACTTTCATTTTCAAATTTTAAATTTCAGTGTCCTAAGGGCCAGTTCTGTAATGGTTTTGGCTTTTTTTCCTTTCTTTTTTTTTAAAGATGAAGCCAAAAATAAAATATAGCAGAGGGCACATGAAAAGCTAGTTATGACACTGATGAGAGATTTTTAATGCAATTTACAAGCTTAGAGAAGAGTTTTCATAGTTGTTTTCTACTCACAAGACATTCCACAGTGTGTCTTGGGGTTCCATTCCAAGGTGTAACTATGTTCTGTGGAACACTAGTAGAGAAATGTGGGTTTAAGGAAAATTGACAAATTAAAATAGTTCAGAAACTTTGTCTTGATAGATTACAATTTAAGAACATGTAAATCAATTTATTTATAATAATTACTTTTAATTAATTCATAACTATAAAATTATTTAAAATAGAAAATTTTGTATATTAATTAAATTTAATACTTTTAAGGCATACTATAATTCAGGCCAGTCAACCCGAACGTCAGGTGAAGCATTTGAAAAAAATTGTTCAAAATTATAAACCAATATCAGATCATAAGAATAATGTAAGTGATTTTAATTTAATAATTTGTTTTAAGTACATGGTGTTGTATTACCAAAAGTATTAAACATTATGTTACATAGTTTTCAAAATCGTTGATTTTATAAGCAATATAATAATAATATTCCATGATAATGATTATAGGAAGGATAAAAATCCATGTTTTCTGAAGGTACAAAATTTTGAGTGGTTGCTGCAGACATTCAAGTAGATATGCTGTCTGCCATATTAAATTAGGCTACTTCTCTGCGATTATTTTTAATTAATTTCTAAATAATCTAAAAAGCTTAAAATCAAATCTGCACCAGGAAGTGATGATCTCCCTAATAAAGTGATTAAAAATTTAACAATCCCGATTCTGAGTTATATTGTCAGCTTATATAATACATTCTATAATAAAGGAGTTATTCCGATTACATGGAATCAGGTAATATTTCGAATGACATATAAAAAAGGGGATAAATTACATCCAGAAAATTACCGCCCAATAGCGTTACTATCGACGTTCCGTAAGCTATTTACTTCGATGTTGGCTAGAAGATGTAACGAATGGCTAGACCATGAGAATTTGAGGAATCCTACACAATTTGCCTTCGTTAGAAAAGGTGGAACTCAACTAACATTGTTCATATTACTGGCTATAATCCAGATTCAACTTGAAAGGAAAAAACATAAAGTATATGCATTATTTTTGGACCTAGATAAGGCCTACGATTCAATCAGTATAAGAGCATTACAAAATAAAATGTCTCAATTTAGTGCGGATAATGCAATGATAAAATTAACTGGCTTATTATTCGGTCATTATGATGCAATTATTCGACACAATGATGAACAAGGTTATCCCTATCCGATAGATCGTGGGTTGTTACAGGGAGACCCGTGGTCTCCACATTTGTTTAACTTTTTTACCTTTGACATTAATAATTATTTTGATAAAGATGATGATGGATTCATGATAGGTGACACTGTGATTCACTCTGTTTCGTATGCAGACGACATAGTTATTATTGCACCCACAGCAGCAGCTCTTAACAGGAAAATTCAAGTAATAACCAAATATTTCGAACAATTGAGAATAAAGATTAACCAAAAAAAATCAAATATAATGATTTTTAGAAATGGGGCTAAACTCCCCAGGAGAACTATGTCCTTCTACATTAATAATAATGAATTAAAACTGGTCAATGAAATTAAGTTTCTGGGGATTATCTTGACACCTTTACTGTCCTTTGAGAAACATACTAGGATGATGATGATAAAAGCTAATAGAATGATTAATGGTCTAATGAAATTGTTTGCTAAGACACATCTAAGTAATATACAAACACAGTTTAACTTATTCAATTCAATTGTATATAATTCAGTGAGCTACGCATCACCACTTTGGTGTATGGTCAACTATCTGAAACTGGAGATTATCCAGAACAAATTTATTCGAAGATTGTTTTGCTTGGAATATAAAATTCCGGGGAGTGCTTTAAGGTTAGAAGTAAGCAGATACAGTCCCACTGCATTATTTATCAAGAGAACTATGATGCTGTTAATGAAGATAAGAGATATTGGAGATATTTCATTCAATCTGCTACAACAGTTATATAAGTATTCTGTACAGAAGAATTCTAAAAGGAATTGGATAGCTCAAATTTCAAGAGTGATCAATAGTTATGGTTTCTCAATTGCTCCATTTATCTTTTCGCCGAATCTAAGTGAAGATTTGTGTAGTCAGCTAACGCATAGCATTTTAGATATTCTATTATCACGTGACATAGAAGACAACCGTTCACGTTTAAAACCAAACTGGTATGGTTCACTATTGAACTATCCAAATATTAATAATTATATTCTATCGAATCTACCTTTTGTTATAAAACGGTTTTTTATTCAAATACGTCTAAATTCAGAAATATTAATGTTAAATAATAAATTCTACTCGTATGCTGATAATTTATGTCCTAGATGTAATATGGAATTTTCAAAGTATCATTTGTTTTGCCAATGTGGAAAAAGCTATGAGTTAAAAAGGAAATTTGATTTGTTAAGTTTAAGTGAGTGCAGATCGGTGGAAGAAATGTACTATATTTTCCATAGAGCAACAACTTGGTTAATAGTTAATTTGTACAACTATGTTAAAACTTTTGTAAATAATTAGAAGGAATAATAATATTGTAATAATACTATGTAATATGTTATATTATTTAAGTTTGTTTCTCCCATTGTAACTGGCAATTGCCGTATTACAAATAAAGCGTAATTTGGATTGGATTGGAATTTCTAAATAATTTGCCACTAGAGGTAGGTAAAAATAATCATAGAGAAATAGCCCAATTTAATATGGCAGCCATTTGGCACATTACTAATATATCTGTTTTTGTCATGATTGTGTTCAATTAGATTTTGAACCAATTGTTATTAGCCTGTTTAGGCTATTCCTCTATCTGCAGTGGATGTAGAAAGATCATTTTTACTTTAAAAGGTATCATATCAGATAAACAATGTAATTTTAAACCAAAAAATTTAGAAACGTGTTGCTAATTTTAGTAAAATAAAGTACAGGTAGCCCTCGGTTTACGCCGGTTCAATTTACGCTGATTCACAATAACACTGCTGTGCAATTCACCATTTCGAAGAGTAATTCCCCGATTTTCCCTATGCTAGACTGATTTTCATTTCAGTGTTGACACACTTACCGAGCCGCGACATTGTACATTCGTTAAAACAAAGATTTTTATTAAATGTATTTATTTTTTCTGTTTAATGTTATTGGGTATGTATACATTTGCATTAAATTAATATTAAAATACTAAACGTTTAGGTACCCACGAGTCAAGATATTAAACTTAGTAGTCCAATAAATGGCGTCCGAATCCATAGCGCTAATGAATGTATCCCGTATCAGTTCATTCAGGAAAACGCCTTATGATGCAATAGCACTTCCGGCGATCACAAATTATTGTTAGTGAGACAAATCTACTTCTCGTTGGCCAGATGATACTTTTTTATTAGCCAGACAATATCTATCTCTCCTTAGCCACCTTGAATTTTCCTGCTCAAACTGACCTTATATATGCACTATGGCGACCGGTGGTCGACCAATCAGTGTCTTTGCTCGTTCGTAGCTCTACATCGAGTTAACGTATCCTTTCAACTAAGGAAAGTTTGACGGATGAAGTTTGTGAGTTAGACAATGTTGGGAGTGAAGTGCAAATGTAAAAAGGAGCATCATATTCGACCATATTCCAAAATTTTTAATGAAAGAAATNTAATGGTATTTAATATTTAAGTTAAAAATCACGAGTTTAAAGCTAGGATCTTTAATATGGATCCTCGATTTATGTTTTTATATTATATAACAACAAGGAAATTAATTAATTTATGTGATGCTTAATACGGGATTTTTTATTATTTAGTATCCACATTAAAGATTATGGTTATGAATTAGGTCATTATGCTCGATTTTATATCATAAACTGTAGATCTTGAAATAATTTAAATCACTTAATGGTGATAAATCGAGGATCCTGACTTAATTCACAGTCAGGATCCTTGATTTAACAACGTAAAATACGGATCATTAATTTAAATTTTTATATTTTATAACGAAAAGGGAAAAATTGTTATTTTATGTGATTCTTAATAAGTATTTTTACATGTAGATCATTTACATTTGGGGATAAATATCTTAGTTTAAATATTTGTAATAGAATGCAAACGATTACTATCACTATTTTAAAAACTTCGAAAATAAATCTTATTTTATCATATGCTTACCAGTTTATATTTGTAAACGGTAGTAATGGGTAAACAAAGTAAAAATGATTGACTGACAAAGGAACTGAAATATAATGTAGACATCCCTCCCTTAATGATATCCAAAACTATTTTTTATTATTATTATTATTTTTCAGCATCGATTGAATTGATCTTTTCTAAAAGAAATTTTTGCGTTTTTGGATATTAAATATCAAGAAAAATAATTTTGGATATCATTAAGAGGGATATCTGCATTATATGTCAGTTTCTTCTTAAACTTTGTCCATAATTTTTATTGGAATCGTTACTGTTGTTTCAATTTATTTAAATGTTTTATAAATAAAATCCTTAAAATCTTTTAAATGAAACTATAATCTTTAAGTGAAAGATAATCATTTTGAAGTTTTAACAATGATTATTCGGATTTATTAACTATGTGCAGGATTCTAACAATTTAAATATACAGACAGTCTATAACTATAAAATGTAACATATCGAAATTATTAATGAAGGAGTGTATAAAATAGCTAATGACTTAAAATTAAACTATATATGACTAAAAAATAGAAGACAAGCATAAAATAAACTGAAAATTTTTCTCTTAAAAAAATAAGTGTTTATATAACTTATGTAAACGCAGTACAAGTTATATAAAATATTCAAGGTTGTGTCATCACCATTTTCTACGATGCTATAATTTTAAATATTAATTCAAGTAAAGCACTTAATTCTTAAAATATCAATATTAAAATTTTTATATTTCTAAAAAAAATTATAGTTAATGAAATAATTTCTTTTAACTTTAAAAAATTTTTATAATCAATTTTTTATTGAGGAAGTTATATATTTACTTAATATAAAAGCACATGAAATAAAAAATAACCTTTTATATTGATTTCACAATTCGGACACAATCACTTTTGTCACACTGTTAGGTTGCCTCAAGGAATGATTGAATACTTTCTCATGAAACCAATCTAACGACATCGTTATGCAATCAATTCCTAATACACGAAGCCATAAATCAATATAAATAGTTATTTGTGAATATTTTATTAATGTTTTAGGTTAAACTAACGATGTGAATAAAGTTGCACATATAAAAAAACTGACTAAGAGATTTTTAAAGCTGAAAAATATTTCAGAAATAAAAAATGTCAACTGAAATATTTATAATTTGATATTCTACACGTTTATTCAAATTTAATATTAATGTTCTAAATGAAAATCATTAAAAATTAATATAATTGCGATAAAGGCAGATGATATTTGCAACTGATGTGCAAATCTTAAGCAACGATTTTTTTTTCGCCGTAACTCTGAAAGACATAAAATTCAGAATACAGAGACAGTATTCTGTACTTAATTAAAGGATGAAGAAAGCACACTTGTGCAAAAATGAATAAAACGCACACAGTATGGAATCAAAGCCTTCTTATTGTAGTGTTGCACTGCGCGCGCTGATTGCAAACGTTTTGCGTGCCCTCACGTCATCTGTGATGTGTTCTTCCTGTCTACGAATAATTTTTCTACTAAATTGAGTGTTCATTGTACTGATCGCAGCAAACCCTTTTCTACAATTTCATAGCTGTCTGCTTAAAAATTACATTGTTGCTCAAGTTTTGCACACAAGTGTATTATTTATAGTAAGTTAGGTCTAAATATTTTATATATTCGTTTATATAACTGATATTATATTTAAACGTTGCAGAAAATTAAACATCTGCTAAATAACTATGTCAACTATTATATTAACATTGTAAATTTAATAACACATATTTTAAAATTAAAATGCTAAAATAATTCTTGGAATAGATATCTCTTGAAAATATGAAACATAAGCTCAATAAAATGAAACAAAAGAATGCAAACGATGTCGATAATTCTTAAATTACTTCTACAATAATCACACTGTTACTGGCAATCACAAGTACTGTACAGTACTTAATAATCTGAATCAAAATAAACGCATCTCTAATTTAAATTTTTAAATGCAGTAGAAAAATAAAAGTCATTACTCCTAGTTATTTTTTTAAATTCTAGATGTTATTTTTTAAAAGAAATGATCTTATCGAAAAAATAAAAAATTTAATTGTTAACAGAATCAGTTTGCTGATAAAAATATTTATAAATCTTTTAACATTAATGTTTTAAAAGCGTTCATTTAAATTGAGGTTTAAATGATATATTCACGGATAATCTTTTGTAATTTATAATTATAATATAATAAAAACGCTCAAATAATTGTAATTAAATTAAGTCGAATTTTTTCATATAATTCGAATGTAAACCAAATCGTTAATTAAACGTACAATCTCAAAATAAATAAAAATGTTTTAAACAAGTCATTGTATCTAATTCGATAATTGATTATGTAAAATAAACAAAACCAATTTTTACCGAGAGGATGTTCCTGAGTTTTCGAAGGAGTTTGAATAACAGGTAGAGTGGAACGAATTTTATTGCCTCTTCTGAAACCAGTTGCCGATGTTTCTACTTCAGACATAATTCCAGGATCGTCATCATAAACACTAGCAGGAGGTTGATAGAATTGAGGATTCCTTTGAGCAAAATGACCCTAAAAAATCGATTTATAAAGTTATTTTATAATAATCAGATATAAAAATATTATAAACATAACAATATAAAATTAAGAAACCTTTTTTTAACTTCATTCCGATGTTTTAATAATAATTATAAACATATTTTGAAAACTCAATATATTTTTAAAATTTATACAAACAATATTTATATAAATTTTGTTTGTAAATGTTTAGATGAATTTTAAAAAAGTATTTATCGGATGCTGTACTTAAGTACTCAATTTTTAAATTCTGTTTTCATATTTAAATCATCTTTTCTGTAATTTTATCTTCATTCAAAAATATAAAGTTTTTAAAAATTTCTCTTCCATTTTCAATCATCTAAAATCAATCTAATTAAAGCTAGACAATTAAATTAGTGATGTGAGTATCATTTGTATCGCATATTACAAGTTTAAACTTTATCTGTTATAGATGGACCTGCGAAAAATGGGCCTAGCTCTAGCCTAAAATACCACAAAAACTTAGATCAGGCTCAAACTTAAACCGGATCTTCATGACAGTAAATTATAATTTACCACATCATCATCCAATCTACTAAAATAAATAACAATTAATCTAATAGTTTATATTCATTTCTTATTTTCTAGCTTGTTCTCTTCTTCAGAAGGAAGTGATTAAGTTATCAGAATTATATTTATCGATCTCATTGTCATTTTTATGAACAACAATCTATTTTGATGCAGAACAGCGCTTCTCAACCTTTTGTTTACTTGATATTCTTTGAAAATTTTTATATTATATAAGAANAACGATTAATAACATTGAATTCTGAATAATAAAATATATAAATATTTAATAAATTCAATGTTTCTAATGTGACCTATTAATGTTATGAATTCGATAAAAGCGTGAATAGTGTAGGCTACATTTTTCTGTATAGACATAATATGAATGAATGAAGTTTCATTTATATATTTTTTCGGATGTCTGCGGAAACAATCCCGAAATATTCTTTGAATTTTTTCAGAGAAATTTACATTTATTTACTTTATACAGAGCGTAGACAAAATATTGCACTAGATTACGTAATGAATAAATACAATTGCACTGGAGTATAATCGGTAGTGGAATACTTGGTTTGGACGCTATACAGCCAGACTACTCCTTCGAAAGCAGCCAAATACTTTCTCAGGTTCTATGAAAGATAACAACATAGTTTAAAATTTAAACGATAAAATAGTAGTGTCTGAAGATCAGTACAAAATGTTTCTTTTAATGTTAAAGAGGAAGCAGCCGTCGAAAAATGAACAATGAAACTGCGTAAGACTCATCTGTATAGCCTTCAGCTCTTAAGACCGTTCAGGTTTGAAATAATTTATCCGAAAATAAATTATATCAAACAAAAAAGAGATTTAAAAATTCAGAAACTGTCCAAATAAACAAATAAAATATTTAAATATTTAGGAATTTCTAGTTTCTTATTATATAAACAAATGAGGATGAGTGATAAAGACATAAATTATCTAACTTTATACTGACGTTCCAATTTCGTATTTCTATCTTCGTTTCAGCAATTTTTTTTTTTTTTTGATTTTTGACCAAGATTAAACTAAATTTAATCGAGGTCATGTAATATGTCAACTCAAGTAAAGCTATAAAAAAAAAAATTCTGTGATTGATGACTACCTCCACATTTATCTTGCAATATAACATTTGTTCTTGTCCGTCTCTAGCATCATCTATTGATGAGCACAGCTATTGTGGCTAGATTGATAAAAATTATATTTCGAATTGGTTTCCTATCTCTGTAACAGTAAATTTATAAATTAATGAATCAACTACTTGCCGATCATAGAAAAAATAATTCTAATTTATATAAGACTTAATCTTATTGTAAATAATTATTAACTAAGTTATTATTGTTACTGAGTGTTTATCGACAATACACCTCGTATTATTAATATTTGTAATACTCCCTTTGGGGAATTGTACCTAATTAAATTAAATTTATATAAGACAATTACTGTAGATAAAGATTATACAATTATAATTAGTATGAATCATCCTGAAATTTGTGCTCTTGTTTAAGAAGTTATTGATAAATATGATCAGTTGAAGACTTTGATCATTTAATTTAAAAACTATACAAATTACTTTATTTCTTTTACGTTTAAAATTAAATAAAAAAAGTTCTATCAAAAATAACATCGAAAACAAATTACGTTAATTTACTTAAATAATGAAACATTGTTTAAGATTTTATTTTTTCCAATTAAATCATAAAAGAGATCCCATTTATTTATTTGTTTCTCAAAACGGAGAAAAATAAGATGTTTCTTTTTCCATCACTGACTCTACTGAGGAATCTCTAGAAATGAAGACTATAGAGAAAAGATTGCGTCATAACTTTTATTTTTATAGCTGATGTCACAGAATTTTTCAGATTCTCGTTCATGTTACCTAAAAACTCGGTTTTCAGCATTCGATTTTTCTCTCTCTCTTTTTCTTTCTTTCTTTTTTCAATTTTATATAAACGTTTAGAAATTATCACTTTCAGATTATTCTGATCATTACGAAATGTAGATTTAGTCCCTATAAGCATTCCTAGTTTCTATAAATTAACTTAATGTAATATTAACTTTTATACTTATAAATAAATGCCATGTTATACATAAATTCAAATGCTTATATTATATAAATACTCACATTTATACAGAAATATTTTAAATAATTACAATTATGATTATACTTTGTATATAGCAGATAATTTTGTTTTCTTGCCAAAGATGCGTGGCAGGAGAACATCGCGCCGCAAACGATCCTTGGTAACCATCTCATTAGTCATCCATAAGGGACAATTTCAGCCATAATCCTTCTTGAGCGTAATATGCAAAACTGAAACAGCCATAAAGCTCAAGCTTGATAATGTCTCAAAGAAAAAAATCTAATGCAATGAAGCGAGTTACACAAATTTTATAAATTTCGTTGTCTCGAATGTTTATCTGATTTGTTTTAATTACAAATATTATAGTAATATTTTTCAGTTTAACAAATATATGTGCGATTTTCAACTTTTTTTACGTGATTTAATTTATTGTAAAATTCATAGTGCAAAATTTCTTAACTCATTAGAGTAATTAACTAAAGCTTTGTGTACACCTATATAAATCCCAGAAGTGGATAAAATAAACAAGTATTTCGGTCATATTATCACTTTTGATACAGATGATTTGAAAGTAAGATGCTTCATATAAAATTCTGGGCTGATTCGGCAAAAATAAACCTTTCCAATTTTCAGCCAATAAATACGTATCCGAAAATCAGCTAAGCGTAACCATAGAAAGTAAAATGTTGCGAATCAGCGCATTTTATGATCCAAAAATTTTATAAAATGGCCTATTGTAAGCAATAGGTGTAATATACAGTCTAATCCAAAAATTTAATTCATGTTAAGGGAAGATGGTCAGCTTTTCCACAATATCCATATGTCGGATGCATTAAAAACTCGCCATTAAAAATCTTGTGTTATTTTTAATGGTGGGTTTATTATCTAACAGAAAAATTTTTAAAATGGCAGGAATATTTTTCCATGAAAACGAATAGGCCATTTTTCTTACTAACTTAATTTACGCGAATAATTAAGAAGTAGCAGAAATGACTTCATGATCAAATATAATTATTAACATCTTGACCAGAATTCCCCAAAAGCTATTGATAAATATTATTATCTTAGCAACATATTCATTTTATAACATTCAATTTAAACCAGCGTAAGCCTGTCGTCAAGTTTTGTTACAGAATACAATTTAAACAATAAATTCATTAAATAATTAATTTCTAATATTTCAAATTTAAAAAAAATTATTTTAAAGCCTTTGTTCACTCTTCTCGGAATTCTATAGTGTAATAGCTACTGAATGCGATTGAAAAATCCGAGGATCTTTAATGGGCGGGTGCACGATAGGTCTGTCCCCACCCCTCAGCTTTCGGTTGGCCCGGCACAATGGGCTTTTCAGTCTCGGTGCTAGGTGACTTCCACTATTCACTCTATAATGTACAATTTGTTTCTTATAACGTTAGTTCTTACTGAATTCATAAATCAAATTTGAATTATAAAAAATATTCAGCGAAAGATACGTCTGAATAAATTAATAGCAATCCAATAGTAACAATTAAATAAGAAAGGGCTAATAATAGCCTAACAACTAATATTGTATCTTTTGACTAAAAATATTTCAATTAAATTTCAATCTTATATATTTTGCAAAAATTGACTCTCGTTTATAACTAAAATTATATATTAAATTAATGAGTGAGATTTATCAATAAGAAATGAAAATGGAGTATTTTTTCAATGTAATAATAACAAATGATCAAAACATACAACAATAGAGCTAATTTATCAAGATAGTTAAGGACCTAAAATAAATGTAATGGACAGTTTCTTACAAAAGAAAGTTAATGCAGAAGCAGATAAGAGATATCTTTATGATCATATCTCTGAAACCATTGTGATCAATGTAATGAGTAAGTATAATGAGTATAAGAATAAAGAAAAACTTTCTAATTAAAAAAAACTCATTATTATATAAATATGTTAACGCGATTCATATATGAAGGACAATGTGTTCAAATAGAGAAAATAAAAAAACTTTTTAAGATCGCAATAACAATAATTCCATATAACTCTTAAAAGCAATAAATCTATCATATCAAACAATTTACAATATACATAAGAACTATTTTTAATTCTTCACATTATTGCTACATATTTTAATATATATATATATTATATATTAATATTAATATATATATATAGAACTAAAAATGCAATATATATATATATATATTGCATTTTTAGTTATAATGGGCGACCAGATAATTAAAGACCGGACATGATATACCCGTAAAAATTCCTGTTATCCTTGGCCATTCGGCTGGTTTTAGCTGCAAATTATTTATGAACAGTCGATGTCAATAAAATAATAAATCTAAATTTGAAAAAAAAGTGTATGTTTTATTTTCAGTTTGA